ACCAGCTGCTCCTTGGAAACCCTATACAGGGTCGCTATGGGTCGGAATCGACTCGACAGCACTTAACAACAACAACAATGTTCAAAGTCATATTTTGACTCTTGTGGATTTGTTTTAATTTTCTTTAGCTTCAGCCTGAACTTGCATATGATCAATTGATGGATGTTCCAGTCTGCCTCTGGCCTTATTTTGGCTCAAGATTTGGAGCTTTTCCACCTTTTCTTCCCACAGATGTAGTAAATTCAATTTCTTTGTATTCCACATGGTGAGCTCCTTTTATGTTGTTTTAAAATGGTATTTGCAATGCATAAGTCATTGGTCTTGCAAAATTCTATTATTCAATCACCAGCCTCATTTCTATCACCAACTACTACTGATCCCTCCTCATTGTTTCCAACCTGTGCATTTCAATCACCAGTAATTATCAATGCATCTTGATTGCATGTTTGATCAATTTCAGATTGAAGAAGTTGGTAGAAGTCTTGAATTTCATCATCACTGGCTTTAGTGGTTGATGTATAAATTTGAATAATAGTGGTGTACATTTGAATAATAGTGGTCTTTGTAGGCATATGGCTGTTATCCTATCACAGACAGCATTGTACTTTAAGATAGATCTTGAAATGTTCTTTTTGATGAATGTGATGGTATTCTTTTTCAATGTGTCATTCCCAGCACAGTAAACCATATGATTGTCAGATTCAGAATGGCCAATAGCAGTCCATTTCAGTTCATTAATGCCTAGGAGATTGATGGGATTTTTTTTGACAAGTTCAGATTTTCCTAGATTCATACTTAGTACATCCTTAGTACATCCATGCTCTGATTATTAATGATGATGTTATACTTAGTACATACTTAGTTCATCCATGCTCTGTTTATTAATGGATGTTTGCAGTGGTTTCTCCTCATTTTGAATTGTGCTCCATCAGCAAATGAAGGTCCGGAAAGCTTTACTCCATTTGTGTCAACCAATCAACTCTACTTTGAGGAGACAGCTCATCGCTGGTCATATTTTGAGTGCCTTTCCATCTGAGGAGCTCATCCTCTGGCACTATATCTGACAATATTCTGGTGCTCTTCATCATGTTTCAATATTCAGTATTCTGATACTATATAACAGTATTCCACTGCTATTGATAAGGTTTTAAGTTGCGAAACATTCAGAAGAAGTCCGCCTCTTCTTCCTACTCTTAGTCTTACAATGGAAACAGGAAAAACAGAGACAACTGGAATGTTACACTCTGGGGGCTGCAATCAATGACATGAAACAGAATATGCATGAATTGTTTGTTGAATGAAAAACTGATCTCCTTTGTAAACCTTCAACCTTCACCCAATTAACAATAAATCTTTTAGTTAAAAACAAATAAAGGATGGGCACTAAAGCAATTTGGAAATGAGACTTTTCACTCTCCCTCATTCCACCTCCACACCATTTGTAAGTCCTAAAGATTTACCTTTTTATCTGCTCATATCCTCCATTCAGTTCAAGTCTCCATGATCTACCTACCACTGGTTCATAGCAACAACCTCCTCAATGGTCTCCCAATATCCACTCTACCCTCTTTCACCCTGAGTCTACCCCACCACAGTCAGTGTGGTAGTGATGGTGGTTGTGTACTGTTGAGTTGGTTCCAATTCATAGTGACACTGCATAGGGTCTCCAAGGCTGTGAATCTTTATGGGAATCAAAAGTCTCATCTTTCAACAACAACAACAAAAAAGTCTCATCTTTCTTCCACAGAGTGGCTGGTGGATTTGAACTGCTGACCTTGTCGTTAGCAGCCCAATGGATAGCTCGCTATGCACCAGGACTCCTTACAGTCAGTGTAATCTTTCTAAAGCACAAATCTTATGCCAATCCCTTGTGTAAAATCCCTCACTGGGTCTCTATTGCCTCAAGGATAGGCAACACTCTTGTTTTCTAGTCTGACATGGTTGTGCTCTCCTCACATGGAATTCGAAGCCTCTGACTTTTTCTCCAGCTTCATCTCTCACTAGCCCACTAACCTCCTATACTCAACCCTGATAAACTGTTTGTAGTTCCTATTCTTGACTATCTCTTCTCCCCTGGTTTTCTTTGTTCTAGTTACCACTTCTGCCTATAATCCTCCCTGACATGGTAGCTATATTACCAAACCAGACCCATTGCTGTTGAGTCAATTCCCACTCACAGTTATCTCATAGGACTGAGTAGAACTGTCCCACAGAGTTTACAAGGCTGCCTTCTTTAAAGAAGCAGACTGCCATATCTTTCTCCTGCAAAGCAGCTGGTGGGTTTAGACTGCCCGCTTTCCAGTTAGTAGCCAAGTTCTTAGCTACTGTGCCACCCAAGCTCCTTATAGGTAATATACAGAGTCCTGGTGTGTCACTGCAGGATAATGTGCTGGACTGCAAGGTTAGTTTGAAACTCAAGGTCAGCGGTTCAGACCCACCAGTTGTTCCTTGGAAACACTACACAGGGTTGGTATGGGTTGGAACCGACTCGACGGCACTTAACAAGTTAATATATATTTGCTAAATAAATTGTATAAGTTCCATTCATCTTTCGAAATCAGCTCAAGTACTATGCAGTATATGAAGCCTTTTCTTATCCCATCTTCACCCCAGGCATTGCTGCCTCCACTCTCCTTGATGCTCATAGTCTTCCAACTTAATGTCCATCTCATTTTATTGTGTGTATCTGATGCCTTATCTGGGTTCTCCTCCTGATTACAATAGAATGACAGATTCTTGAAGGAAGAACTGCCTGATTCATCTCATTACCCCGTTACCTAACACACTGTTCCACACATAAGAGGTGTAAAGTAAGTAGATGAAAGGAGAGGAGACAGAGGGGCCATGATAATAGAAAGGAGAAAGTTAAGTTTGAGAGTCAGAGTTTACTAGAAAACCATTTACACTCCCCATAGTGGTCTCAGTACACCAATCTAGTTAGGCCCAGACTTGAGTCCTTGGCCTTATCTTCAGGCTGAAGGAGGGCAGTCAACTCCATTAGGAGAACCATGCAACTACCATCAGGAATGAATAGGAAAATAAAAAGTACTCCTTAGGAGTGACCTTAGGACCTTAGGGTCCTGCTGCCTGGCCTTAATGCCTGTTCTCTGCCCTATCCAGTCTCCCATCTTAAGTGAATCCTGTTCTATAGGCCCAGATACATCCAACCTACTCTTCTCAGCCAATGAGGATATTGAAGGAACATTGACCAGTTCTCCTGAACTAGAAAGGTCTGAAGCCCATCAGTAGCCACTCTATGGCTTTGTCTTCCCATTCAAAGCCCATAATGAGTTAGTTTACTAGTTGTCTCCTCTACCTAACAAAACCTCAAAATCAAGAAGCCATCAAGTCAAGACAGAATAAACGTGTGCCAGATGAGGCTGTGGGCCAGAGTCTGGGTCTCTTTCCAGGGCACCTTTCTGAATGAATCTGAGGAATAGATTTGAATCCATATTTACTGTCACTGGGAAGTGGATATTATAATCGTTTTATAGAATGGGCAAGATGATGGAACCATAGTATAAAGTTCTCCTAATAGGGTCTTAGGCACTTTTTTAGTAAAACAAACAAACAAAAATCTACCAGCCTCAGTTGTCCCTGGTGGGGTAGGGAGGTAGGGCAGAGACCTGAAACCCAACTACCTGCAGTACAGACCAACTCCACAAACAAATAGCTGTCTGCCAGTTTGGAGCCTAAAAACTTGGTTCGTTTGCGACCAAGAAAGAAGCAAGCAAATGTAAAGGTAGATGTTTTGTAACAAAAGGAGGGTAGTGGTTGATTTTGTAGTCCAGGAGTGGAGGACCCTGGGACCATCAGGTGAGAAGAGCAGAGTGTGGGACACTATCCAGAAAGGAGTGACTCTAGAGATGGAGGCAGAGACGATGAGATGGAGAGATGGAGCAGATGGGGACTCTGGACTCAGGGAGGGAGAGGGGCTGTGTGCTGATGCCCGGGGGACAGGCTTGTGGGGTGTACCCTTTGGTTGTTTGATGATGCAGGGAAGAGATTGTACTCATTGCAATGAAATGAAATACGATAGGATGAATGTAAAGCTGATGCTCTCCCATGTAAAATATCACTCAATTCACAATAAAAACTTAAAAAGAAAGAAGCAAGCATTGTAGTCTTGACCAAGGTAACACTTGTTGGCCTAGATGGTGTAGACACCAGGCGACTGGGGAGGAACATATTTGCAAATATGTTCCATGGTGCCAGGTCCCTCTGGCCTCTTTCTTCTCTACAACTTGCCTCTGATACCCATCTGGCATCTCTCAACCTCCCATCCTCAATCTCATTCCATCTGTAATGGCTAGGGAACCAAAACCTTATCTTCTGGTGTGGTGCCACCTGAACTAGCTGAAGCATCAATTTGAGAGTTCTCAAATAGAGGCTTCTCAGATGACAATTCTGACCCAGTCCATTTTATATAGGCACAGATGTCCCAGATCCGATTATTCCCCACACCTTGGGGCCAAGCTGTGTTCTGTTGTTAATGGGTTTAGTCAATGTCCTAAACACCTAGCATTCTTCTTCATACTCTGGTCCTCTCTTTCCCACTGGGCAGGAATACATCTTACAATCTGGATGTAGGAATCATCTGTGAAAAAATGAGGTTTATTCTAAGCCTTCCTTTCCCTTGCTTCCCATTGCTTCATTCAAGCTTTAAAACCACAAAAGAGAAGTTGCTAACATCTCAATTCAAAGAAAGAAGTAAGACTGGTCTACTACCACAGACTCAAGTGTAGAAGCACTTTGACTTTATTGTATATAAACTGAGGGTGTAAGCTGGACCATGCTCATATCAGGAGGCCACTGAATGATTGCAGCCAAGGAGGTCGGCCACTCTCTGGGGCTGAGGCAGGACCTTGGCTGCACTTAATTTGTCCACATCTCCGTAGCAGTAAACATTGGGACCACTGATGAGGTACAAGCTGGGACCACTGGCAGAACATGAGTTGAGGCCAAGGGACTTTTCCACACACAGGGCCGTATCGACCTTCTCATGAGGCCAAAGAACCTCTGTCCATGGGGCTTGAGCTCCTAGCTTCAGGTCCAGCCACCACAACCGTCGTGCTGGGGAAAAAGCATCAAACATCACATGACTTCCATGTAGTGGGGATCCTGACCCAGCTCTTTGTATGTGAATCTGTGTCATCCCAACAGAACATGACACCCCTTAGCACCCAGAAGCCCTTTACCTGCCATAATGTAGAGCCGAGAAGACCCAGGGCAGGTGAAGGTTGCATCCACAGTGTCCAGGCTCATCCCATGAGGGCTCCCGACTTCCTTCGCAAGTTGCTTTGGATAACCACTTACTAGGGTGTAGCCGCCCTTTGTCAAGAAGACATACACCTGGGAGCCCTGAAGGACACAGGACAGTAATCAAGCCCGAGCTGGATAATCTTGCCCGGATCTCCACCTCAGACTTTTCCTTGGGTCAGCACACACCTGGATCAGATAGAGTTTGTCCTCCCAGGTAAAGGCAGAATCCACTGTGGAAGGGCCCTGAGGCCACTGGTGAGCAATGGGCCAACTATGCCACCCATCCTTGCTGGTGTCCAAACGCCAATAGTGGGATCCTGAGGAGTAACAGAGGTGGATCTAGTGACCAAGTAATGAGGAGACTAGTAACAGATGCAGGGATGTGTCCTGAGAGGGAGGAGTAGAGCAGGATTCATTTTTCACTTAAGACTTGACTGGAATTGGAGTCAGTAGGTGCTGACAGAAAGACAGGCATAGAGAACAGTGGTCAAGTTGTTAGGAATTAGTGAGGGACTCCATTTGCCTTTCATTTGCAGTGATGTGGTCAGAGACAATGAGATATGGTGGCCAGAAATTAAAAGGGAACACCATAACAAGCTTCCACTGAGCCTTCTCACTCTGGGCAGACAAGTAAGGGAGTAGCCTTCTCTCATTCACATAGCCACTTATTAAAGGAGTTGTTTAGGCTGCCTTGTAGCCTTTCTTACTCAGTCCACTACAATATACTTTCATTTCCTTTCTCCACTGAGATACTAGTAGCTTCCATTTTGTCAAATCTCTGTTTTCATCTACTCTAACTTGCAGCAGCATTTAACCAGCCACCAGTTCCTTCTTTAAGTATCTTTTCTTTGATCTTGGATTCTCTGATATCTAAATATTGAAATCTCCCAGGGCTTTAGTTTGGGCCTCTTTTCTTCTCTGTCTACACTCACTCCCTCTGTCTAATCTCACTCACCTAGTCTCAGGAGTTTGCATATCATCTATGTGCTGATTCCTTCTCAATCTGTTCACTTCAGCTTTGACCTTTCTGCTGAGCTTCAGACTCAATTTTCATTCCATAGCTGACATGCTCATTTGACTGTCTCATTAGTCACCACAAACTTAATTTGTCCAACTTGATTACTGCCTCCACCAAATACACAGAAATACATATACACACACATATCTCTAGTCCTCCCCTATACGTTTCCAATTTTAGAATGGAAAAAAATCAAAACAAAACACTATCTGCCCAGTTACCCAATTTCCAAAAATTGAATCATTCTTGAAACCTCTCTTTTCCCTTCTTCACTGCAGTCAACATCCAATCTATCATTAACCTGTCAGCTTTACCTCCAGAGTAAATCATGAGTACACTTCACCACCTTCGCTGCTGTCATCCTCTTCCAAGCCATCATCACCTCTTATCTGAACTACTATAGGAAGTACCAGCTGGACTCCATGCTCACACAACGGTACCACTATGACTTATTCTGCACAAGAAGCCACGGTGATCTTTTTGAAAATGAGAAACTATCATGTCTCTTCTAAAGAGTTTGTGAACAGTTGAAAATCTTTAGCAGGTTTGCCTCCTCTCTGATCTCTTTCAAGCAACTCCTTGCTCCTTCACTCTGTTCAAGTCACATTGGTTTTCTTTCCTGATTCATCCAAGTATTTGCTGTTATCCTACCAAAGAGGCATTTTCTCCTGTGCTTCATTGAGAGAGTGTTGTGAATCGTCAGTAAGTCAGTTCTGACTCCTGGTAACCACATCTGTTACAGAATAGAACTGAGCCCCTTTAGGGTTTCTTGGTTATAGTCATCATAGAAGCAGGTCACCAGGATTTTCTTCCACAGTAGTTAGGTGGGTTCAAACCACCAACCTTTAGGTTAGCAATCAGCTGAAGACAGTACCACCTTGGGTCCTTCCTCCTGTGTATTGCATGGCTCATTTATTTTCATCATGGAAATTTCAGATCAAATATCATTGCCCCAGAGACGCGCCCCCCTCATCCTGCTCACTTCCATCCCACTGTCCTGTCTTACTTCCATTCCACCTCTTAGACTCTATGAAAGTACTCTCTTTCCTTCTTTCTCTTCATCAGGGAGCGTCCTCTCTCCTTCTAGCAGGATCTATGAGGATAGACATCTTGTCTGTCATGGTGATTACTATAACTGAGTACACGGAACAGTATCAGTACTGATCAGGTATTCAATAATTATTTGTTGAATTAAATGGGTGGGGTTCTCGTGACAGCCACAAATTCTTTTGAAAGCTATGTACTTGGCACGTTGAAGGTGGGGTTTCCCCTCCTACTTAAACTACAATGCTTACTGCCCCTGCTTCGAGAGTCAGTGCCGTCCAGTGCCTTGATGCCCTTTGTGTAGAGGGATTAACTGATGAGCTCCTAACCTCTCAGTAACCAAAACATAGGCTGACCAGCACTTTAATATAGTCTGGTTTGAAAATATGGCCTAGGACAATTAGATCTCCTCTCTGGAATTCTGATCAGGAAAAGAAGCGCAACTGAGGCAGTTACCAGTTGGAGCCGAAGCTGAAAGATCATAAAGTAAGTTGTTGTTGTTGTTAAGTGCCATCGAGTCGGTTCTGACTCATAGCAACCCTGTTTCTGAGGAGCAGTTGGTGGGTTTGAACCGCCAACCTCACAGTTCAAACCGACCTTGTGGTCTAGTGAATTATCCTGTAGTGTCACACTACTAGAAGGTGGAAAAACAGGATGGTCCGTGTGTAAGTTAAAATTGTGAAGAAACAAAAGGAGTAAATAAGGAGCTATGAGGTAGAGAAAAGAGAGGTGAGAGCCAGCACTGTGCTGAGTAGCTGGGTCACATTTGTGCTGCGCCCTCACCTCAGCTTGACGTGTTTAACATAATAACTCTGTGCTTTCAGCTATGGAACAAAGTAAAGAGCAGTCATTAACTTCAGCTGCATTCTCATCATGCCCACATGACCTTTGTACAGCTCTGTGAGCTTCTCATGGCTGCATGTTCTCCTTACTTTTCAGAGTGGTCTCTGGTGCCTGGTTCCTTTCAGTCTTATTTTGTTTATGTGTTCTCATCATGTTGTTGTAGTTGGAGTCAGTTCTGACTCATAAAGAGAGACCCTGTAAAGGGTTTCCAAGGAGCAGCTGGTGGGTTTGCACTGCTGACCTGGTGGTTAAGTAGCCTGGAGTTTATCTTACATTGGTAAGTTGTTGGTAAGTGCTATCAAGTCGGTTCCAACCCATCGCGACCCTGTATAGGGTTTCTGAGGAGTGGCTGGTGAGCTTGAACCACTGACCTTGGGATTCAAATAGACTTTGCTGCCTGGCACATTACCCACAGTGCCACACCAGGGCTCATTATAGCTGCATAGAGATACATTATTCTGATACTTTCATGCTCTTAGTACAGCATGTATTCTCAATATAGTGCTATATTCTCACCACAAGTGCATGTTTTCATCCCCATATTATGTTTTCATTATGCCATGCATGCCTGATGTGGGATATGATCTTCCAGTGACTATGCATTTTTCATTATAACTGAGCAGCCATATCTGACCAAACTTTTCCATAAGGTTGGAGCATAAAAAAATGTTTTCACTATTCTATATTTTCACCTACCTTATATTTGTACCTGATCATATGTATACATTGTTGTTAAGTGCCGTTGAGTCGGTTCCGACCCATAGCGACCCTGTACAGGGTTTCCGAGGTTGTAAATCTTTATGGGAGCAGAAAGCCTCATCTTTCTCCTGCGGAGCGGCTGGTAGTTTCGAACTGCTGACCTTGAGGTTCGCAGCCCGATTCGTAACCACTACGCTACCAGAGCTACATATATATATATATATGATCAGGTACAAATACAAGGTATTTATATTTGTGTAAATATATATATATATTTATATCATATATATATAAAATCATTGTCAGTCATTGTCATCATTAAGTGCCGTCGAGTCGGTTCCGACCCATAACGACCCTGTATAGGGTTTCCAAAGAGCAGCTGGTGAGCTTAAACCAACGATCTTGCAGTTCAAATGGCTTTGCAATCTGGTGCATTAACCCACAGTGCCACACCAGGACCCTATATACATCATGGTGGTGTGCCATGGAGTCGGTTCCAACTCATAGCTGCCCTGCATAGGGTTTCCGAGACTATAAATCTTTATGGGAGCAGAAAGCCTCATCTTTCTCCCATGGAACTGCTAGTAGTTTCAAACTGCTAACCATGAGGTTAGCAGCCCAACTCATAACCACTATGCTACCAGAGCTCCTTATATACATAAGCTGGGTATAACACGATTGTTCACTTTCTTTCTTGGAGCTCTTCTCAAGGGTGCAGCAAGACTCATCACTACCTACCTGCTTAATCCAAGAACATCTTTAGGTATTATTAGATAACATTTGCCAATTGATATCACAGGTCACGAAAGACATGTCTCCATTGGCCACTCATAGGGAAAACCTCAGGCTACAAAGCCATCTTCTAAAGGGTCTAGGGTATCAACACTTCTTGGTAGGTTCAGAAAATGCTGTACTAAGGCACCTGGGAAAAGACAAAGCCTCTGAGTACAACTTCAAGGGGAACCAGAAGACCTGGCAAGTCAATGAGCAAAGAGAATGTGAGAAAAGAACCATAGATGTTGTTAAGAGGTAGACAGATTAGAGACTTGGACGATGAAAAACAAGGTTGAGAAATACATGCAGGCTAGGAGATGAGATGGAATCCTGGTGTGGGGCTGTGAATTAATACACTTGGACTGTACAATTGGTTAGAAATGCAAGGTCGGTGGTTCAAGCTCACCAGCTGCTCCTCAGAAACCCTATACAGGGTCACTATGGGTCAAAACCAACTCAACAGCACTTAACAACAACAACAGGAGACAAGATACATGATAGAGCGTATTAAGGATGGGAGACAGATGGAGCAAGACAGGGCCACAGTGATGTGGATGGTAGGAAGAGGTCAGGGATCGAAGACCCTAGTGAGAAAGATAGGAGCTATGGAGGGCAGAGCAGGAGGAACAGGGGGCATCTCTTACCACTGAAGGCATAGGTGGCTCCATGGGTGTCAGACAGCAGTGCAGACAAGACGAGATTTGGGCTGCAACGCTGAGGTATATTCCCATAGTTGGTCCCATTCCTATGTCTAGCGCCATGGCCTGGTGGGGGTGTGGAGAAATAGGTGAAGGAAACACAGAGGAAGGCCAGAGGTCAGAGTGAGGTCTGAGGCAGAGGAGATGGCTAGGATTAGTGGAACTATAGCTTTCATAAGAAGACATGAGGGAAGAACCAAGATGGAAATGGGGCTAAGGTAAAGGGCAAGGTGTTGTAACACAGAATTAAGATGGAGGCTGGGACCTGTGGGTTTACAAGGTTAGGTAGGGGATCTAGACAAATCCTAGTGGGCCTCAGGGACTTGGGCTTTCTCACCTCTTCCAGGGCAGGACATGAAGTAGTCTCGAGCATCCAGAGGGTACCTGGGAGGCACCTCTCCCGTGACAGGGTTGAAACGCAGGAATTGGTTACCCTGGAAGCAGTAGTAGCGGCCTATCCATCGCAGGGCAGAAGAGCAGTTCCCCACATCTGTCCAGGAACGCTCCTTTTTGGTTCCCGTAGCAAAGTCCCAGAACCACTTGCGATTACCTTTGTCCAATCAATCGAGAAGCATTCAGTTAGATCAAGTTATGCTCACCCTTTCTTGCACTGGGTCCCCAAGACATGCCAAATATGGTCCTGAGCTCATGGAGTTCACCAACCAGCAGGGACACAGTTGAGGTGTGATCATACAACAAAATGCGGCAGCAAAGTACACATGATCAACTCAACAAGGGCAGGGGAAAGAGTCAGGAGAAACTTCCGAGACAAAGTGAAACAAACTGAAAGCTAAAGATGGGGAGATGGAACTCCAGAGAGAAGAAAGAGTCTAAAACATGAAGAAAAATTGTGAATACAGAGAATAGCATAGAGTTTCTAGAGCTTAAAATTCAAGTTAATGAACAGTACAAAAAAAGAGAAGGCTAGAAAATCAATAGGGGGTTTAGTCATGCAGAGATTTGTATACCAAATTAAGGAACATAGATTCTTATGTTCTTACTTAACTTATACCAAGTTAAGTCCTGAGGGTCATAGGGAACAACGTGGAACTTTTAGCAAAATTATACTCAGTTTTTAAAAAAAGTTGCTGTAGCGTTGATTCCAACTCATGATGACCTTGTGTTTTGCAGAGGAGAACTACGCGATAGAGTTTTCCAGGCTGTGCCCTTTTAGAAGTAGGTTATTAGAAGTTTCTTCTGAGAAGCTCTGGGTGGGTGGGTTTTCATTGCCATCCTCTCAGTTAATAGTTGAGCACTTACCCATTTACCTCACTCAATGGCTCCTTGCACCCAGTTACCTTCCCCAACAGGACTTCCATTCACCCTCTCCTCCTCCCACTTGACCTTAAGGCCATTCTGGCTTCTGTATTTCTTCTCTTTCTTAGGAAACCACATGGTTCCATCAGCATCACTAGCAGAACCTCCATCATTATTGACAACACAACCACTGGCACCACCAACTTACCACCAACCCAGGGTCTCAGATTCCAGTCTGGACTGACCTTGGAAGAAGAGGACACCCTCCTCCTGGCACTCTCCACGGTGGCATTCCACAGCTGCATCCAGCGGAGATGGGATTCCAGGAAATTCATCTTGGAGCAACTTTGGATATCCTTTCTCCTCCTTCTCAGCAGGGTACACCCAGACTTTGTCTCCCTGCATACAAAAACAAGCATTTGAACTGTGTGTTCCCTGAGGCTGCCACTCTGCATTCACACCAACACTTACACAATATCCGCCTGTCCCCCACACTCTCAGTGCCATCCCCTGCACAAATACATACCATCAGCTTGTGACAACCCAGGCACTATTATCTCAGCACATGCACACTTAGACACAATGTCGCACACATCTGTCATACCACTAGTCTTGGCAAACACGTCCATAAATTGTCATCCTGAACTCATCTATCTATTCATATATTCATTTGTTTTGTTATTCATCCAAAAATGGTTGTTGAATGCATACGGTGTGCCAGATGCTGTGCTAGGCACAGGATAAAGGGATGACAAGACCCTACCTCTGCCTTCAAGGAGTTCAATATGCAAAAGCAAGAATTCATACAACCTTAGCAATGGAAACACTAAGGTGGGGAGCGTGCAGTGTTTCAGGAATATAGGGGGAGTGCCTAAGTCCCAGTTGTTGTTGTTATGTGCCATGGAGTCGATTCCGACTCATAGCGACCCTGCACAGGGTTTCCAAGGCTGTTAATCTTTACGGGAGAAGAACGCCTCATCTTTCTCCCGCGGAGCAGCTGGTAGTTTCGAACTGCTGACCTTGCAATTCGCAGCCCAATTCGTGACCACTACACTACCAGAGCTCCTTAAGTCCCAGAGGAGGAAGCATTTTGGACAAGAGTTGAAAAATAAGCAGAAATTTTCTAATGGACAAGTGATGGAAGGATGTTACCAGCAGAGGGCGCAGGATAAGAGGGAGCCCAGTCAAGGAAGCACAGTGTGCTCAGCAAGCTTATACAAACTCCAAAGAGTTCATGAAAAAATGGAATGAAAAGATAATGAAATTTTTCATGAGCTTTTTGAAGTCCCCTTGTATAGTCTCATGTGACTGGCACACAGTGAATCTGACAAGAGAGGAGATCATCCTGGAAAGAAAACCAGGATCTTGACATCTTGTGCCTATCTGGCTTCGAGTCACCAGGCTTACACTGGTGCTATTTACTGAAAGAGGAAACACAAGAGGAAGGGATAGTTTGTGAGGAAGGTGCTAGACTCAATTTGGGGAATACTGAACTTGAAGTCCTATGGAACATCTAAAGGTTTTCTAGTTGGAGCAAATGATTTGTGCTTGACCATGTAACCTAAGGAGTCCTGGTGTGACACTGTAGGCTAAGCACTGGACTGCTAACCGCAAGGTCAGTGGTTCAAACCCACTCCTTGCAAACCTTATACAGGGTTACTATTTGAGTTTGAACTGTCTCACTGGCACTTCACAACAATTTAACCTAAAGGTTGGTGATTTGAATCCATCTAATGGTGCTACAGAAAAAAGTCCTGGTGATTTGTTGCCATATATAGTCAAGTAAACCCTATAGAGCAGTTCTACTCTGTAACACACGGGGCTGCATGAGCCAAAAGTGATGGCAACAGGTTTTGCTTTGTGTTTTGGGAGATCTAAATTAGAAAGGTCCGTTAAGAAATGGGAAAAAGATGCCTGAAACTCAGGAGAGATCCAGATCTGATATTAACAGCATGGAGTCCTCAGAACCACACCAATGATTGGGATCACCCACAGGAGGTGTAAAAAGACTAGGACGGATCCCTGAGGAAGATGTGGGGGTTGACAGAGGGTGAAAAGCCTGAGGAGAGTGTGGAAAGAGTAAGGAGGGAAAACAAAGTTTGTAGTGTGGGCCACCCCTGGCTTGGCCAGGGATCATGGCTTGGTAAACAAAATTGACTGGACTTCAACCTCTCCTCGGCCCTTGACCAGGTGTCAGTGGTCAGTGAACAAGCGGCTCAGTCATATTGGCAGGACCTAAATGCAGTGGCATGAAGCCAAAACAGGAAACTGTCAAGAAGGGAAGAATAGCCAACAGCATGAGGTGTAGCAGAGAGGTCAAGGACTAAGATTAAGAATGAAGGACAGTCTCTGGATGTGTGGTACCTCCCCTGCCCACATGCACATCCACTCCTTTTGCCTGATGATCTGCAGAGAAGGAAGGCAGAGATGGAGGAAAGCTGTTACCTATTAACAGAGTTCTATGCCAGGACCACTGTGGAGAAGGTCTCTAGTGTAGATTCCAGTCTTTTCCAGCTAAACCCTGACCTTGGCCCAGCCATACCTTGATCAGGTAAACGGTGTCGTGACCACGGCGGAATGCAGCATCCACAGGACCAGTCAAAGTCTTCCAGTGTTCTGAGATTGGCTCTCGGGCCCATTTAAAACCCTTCCACACGAACTCCCCTGAAAAATCCACACTCACTCAGAGACCCAGAACAAACCTTTGGCCTAGAGATAGTTACAGTGAAGCTGTGAGCAATAACCTCATAAAATCCCTAAAGCCACATGCAATTGGAGAGCCTCTCTATGAAGGGATAGAGTCTGAGGCATCTATAGTCCCTCCTACCTTTAAAAACCAGCATGGTCCCATTGTCATCCAGGGTGACAGCATCAAAGTGCCAGCCATCCGAACATCGTTCTGCGGGTGGGGTGAAATATGGCAAAATTAAAGACCAGCTAGATTATAAAAGGCAGAGACACAGAGAGAGAGGCTCAGGGAGTTGGGGCCTCACCAAGGACGTCTGGGTCCAGTTTGGTCCCATTTCCACCTTCAGCTTCATTTGCCGGGGCACTAGTCCTAGGGAGAAAGCAGGTAGATATCTAGATCCCCTGGGATCAACCTCCCTTCCTTAACTCTTGACTCTAAACCTAAACCACACCAGTTGCCATCAAGTTGATTTTAACTCAAGGCAACGCCATGTGTGTCAGAATAGAGCAGTGCTTCATGGGATTTTCAGTGGTCGATTATTCAGATGTAGTTTATCAGTCTTTCTTCCCAGACACCTCTAATTGGACTTGAACCTCCAAGTTTTCAGTTATCAGCCAAGTGCATTAGCTATTTGCACCACGCTGGGACTTCTATCCCAAATTTACCCCAGACCCCAAATCAGTGACCATATCCCACATTAGCCTAGGCCCCAGTTTTCTGGCCCTCGTCCCAACTTTACTCACGCAGGAAGAGGGCTGGCAAGAGCCAGAGACCAGCACAGGCTCAACAAGCCCAGTATAGCAGGTGATCCCAGTACCCAAGCCATGCTGAGCTGAAGAGTCCACAGGACAGCCTAGGCTCCTGGTGGAACTCCTCCATATATAGCCAAGTCAGTAGCGCCACCCTCCACTCTTAGTGGAAATGAGCTGCCTCCCAGGACTATACCAATATTAGCTGATTACATCACTGCAAATAAGGTCAGAGTCTGGACAGAAGTCTGAATCCCTATTCCTGGCACTGGTTCCCCACCCCCTTCTTCAATTTTCCAGCGGGAATAGCCTATACCATGGATCCCCAACTATGATTTCTATCATCTTGGTGAAGAGTCAGGGTGCCCATAAAGACAGGGAAGAGGAATGGACCACCTTGCTATAGTTTGATTTACCTCTGCCATGAGGAAAGTGAAAAGAGGAGAAACTAGCGTTTCTTTCCTTTTTTAAAACTTTTTCTTATTGTGGTAAAGCCAGATATAATAAAACATTTGCCATTTCAACATTTTTTACATGTCTAACTCAGTGACACTACATTCACCATGTTGTGCAATTGTCACTGCTCTGTTTCCACACTTTTCGTCACTTAACAGAAAGAAGCTCAATGCCCTTTAACAGTACCACCCCTTCCCGCTCATCACTAATACACTGTGATCTCTATACACTCGCCTGTTCTGGGAGTTTCATACAAGTGTCTGACTTATTTTAGTCATCATATTTCCAGTAGGCTTTTGGCTATTGTGAATAGTGCTGACATGAACGTTAGTGAACAAATATTTGTGTCTCTGCTTTCAAGCCTTTGGAGGTATACACCTAGGAATGGAATTGCTGGGTCATATAGTAATTCTCTGTTTAACTTTTTGAGGAACCATCAGATTGTTTTCAATAGTGACTGCATCATTTCTTCACACCTTCACCAACATAGTTGTCCTGTTGTTGTTGTTAAGTGCCATCGAGTCGATTCCAACCCATAGCGACCCTGTATAGGGTTTCCAAGGAGCAGTTGGTGAACTTGAACCACCGGCCTTACAGTTCAAATGACTTTGCAGTCTGACGCATTAGCCTACAGCACCACACCAGGACTTCATAGCCATTCTGTTGTTGTTGTTGTTGTTGTTGTTGTCAAGTGCCATCGAGTTGGTTCTGACCCATAGAAACGCTGTATAGGGTTTCCAAGGAGCAGTTGGTAAGTTTGAACCACCAACCTAGCAGTCCATATGGCTTTGCAGTCTGGCGCATTAACCCACAGCACCACACCAGGACTCAAGGGGTAAAGTGGTATGTCATTGTGGTCTCGATTTGCATCTACGTAATGACTAATGTGGGAAGGAGCTCTGGTAACGTAGTGGTTTCAAGTCAGGCTGCCAACTTCAAGGTCAGCAGGTCGAAACTACCAGTGGTTCTGCAGGAGAAAGATGAGGCGTTCTGCTCCTGTAAAGATTTATAGCCTCGGAAACCCTGTGCAGGGTTCACACTATGACTCAGAACTGACTCCACGGTACTTAACAACAACAACAACAATGACTAACGGGAATCCTGGTGTGGCGCTGTGGGTTAATGCACCAGACTGCAAAGCCATTTGAACAGCAAGGTTGGCAGTTCAAACTCACCAGCTGCTCCTTGGAAGCCCTATAAGGGTCGCTATGGGTCGGAACCGATTCAATGGCACTTCACAACACAACATCACAATGATTAATGGGGGTGGGAGCACCCAGGTATGGTGTTGCAGAATAATGCACTGGACTGCAAATCACAAAGTTGGTGGTTCTAACCCACCAGCCACTCCTTAGAAACCCTATAAAAGGTAGCTATGAATCAGGATTGACTCTACAGCACTTAAAAATAACCATGACTAATGGGGGGTCTCTGGGTGGTGGGAGAGTTACTGCTCTTAGGGGATAACAGAAAGGTTGAAGGTTTGAGTCCAACCAGAGATACCTTAGAAGAAAGTCCTAGCGAGTTACTTCTTAAACATCAGCCCTTGAAAATTCTATGGAACACATCTCTACTCTGACACACATGGACCATGAGTCAAAATGAACTTGATGACAACTGGTTTGGAAAATGACTAGTGCTGTTGAGTATCATTTTATGTGTTTATTGACCATGTGTATATCTTCTTCAGTGGAATTTCTAGTCAGTTCTTTTGCCCATTTTCTCATTCAGTTGTCTTATTGTTGGAACGTTTTTGTGTATGAAGTGTCAAGCCCCGCTGTCAAACGGTTACAGCTTGAAACACGGATACTTGTATGCACTTTGTAACCACATATGCAGATAAACAGCGTATTTAAAAATAATCTAAGAACAGCTTTTTCCAAGCTCCATTCAGAGTGGTTTTGGGACATTCTGAAGTCTCTTCACTTTGCCCCTGGGTTAGTGATTTTGGATCAATACCACCACTGCCAAATGCCCCAGCTCCACCCTCACCCCTACTGGCAAAATACTTTGCAAAAATCCCCTGGAGGGAAGGTCTGACAATAATGGGCTGCAAATAAGAGGTTTCATCCTTCCAGAAAACACTAATAATAATTAATCTTTCTTGATAGTTTCCACCTTGTAGCAAAAGTGCTTTATTTACCCATCACAGAGTAAATAGAAATGCTAGTGAGGTTTCACAATATTTGCAGCTAATTCCTGCTTAAATGTTATCTTCTCTAAGAAGCCCTTGGTGATCTCCTCATTTAGCCATATTAGGCTCTTGCTTGTTTTGTTTTTTTAATGTCACTTATTAAAACTTGAAACAATTTACTCTGACTCCTTATTTTGTTTTGCCTGTCTTGTTTACCATTGTATTCCTGCCACCTAAAGTATTGCTCCAACACAGTAGTGATTGTGAGGATGACGAAGGACCCAGCAGTGATTCGTTCTCTTGTACACAGGGTTGCTAAGAGTTGGAATGGACTAGATGGCACCTAATATCAACAACAAATCGTGTCTGGCATATAATGGGTGCTCAATAAGTATGTTGTTGTTGTTAAGTACCACTGAGTCAGTTCCAACTCATAGCAACCCTGCACAGGGTTTCCAAGGAGCAGCTGGTGGATTTGAACTGCCGACCTTGAGGTTAGCAGTCCAGTGTTTATCACGCCACACTAGAACTCTTCAATAAGTACAAAGGAGTTTCAAAAGGTTGTGGAAATTTTCCATTGTCTTTAATTGTATTTTTTCATGAACTCTTTGAAACCCCTTTGTATTTGTTGAATAAAAACCCCAAAATTTCAAATGCTAACTATATTAATGCTTCTGTCAAATTTCTGACAATTTTCCTCCTTTGAGGGTTAGGGGAATATTAAAAATTGGGGATCCTTGTGATAGAGCCCTCAGTACTCCCTGGGGGCCACTGGCCAAGCCTTCGCCATTTGCACCTGAGACAAGGCTGCTGGGCCAGAAGACAAATATGTGCTGAGTCAGCTATGGAGCAGGCTGAGGTCCTAGGACCTAGCCCAGTCTGAATGGGCTCTGACATCTCCGTATAACCCTAGCAAAGGTCTCATTTTCCTTTTCTACTCTGTTAAATTTCCTCCCAACAGGAAAGCAAAAATCACCTGGCCTTTGCCATCAGCCTCAATAGTCTCTCCTGATTTAATAATGAAAACGTGCCTTTAGGACCGTCCCTCCTCATAGGTCAGTGGGAGGAGCATTTGGCAGCATGGGCAATGCTACCACAACTGCTACAGCACATGCTGGACACCTACCTTCTCTCACTGTGGGGCATCTCTGGCTGGCCTACTCCCCATCCCTACCCCACCCCTAGCTGCTGGGCACTGGACACTCCACATCTCCCTTACCTCTCCCTTCAAGTCTATGAAATCTGAAATCACCTTATCTCCAATTAGCATGGCATCCTTACTAGGACTCTCCCTGATGAGCACCCTGTGACTCTCCATCAGGCAGAAACTTTCTCCTCAACAACTTGTCTCCAGCAGCCAGAACTGTTCACAGATTTCCCTGCATCAGCAGTACCATTGAGTCTGTCTGTGGAAATGGGAACTTTGCACCAAGTCACATCTTTTCCTTTAGAAAGCCCATAGGAGTGTCTTTAAATCCTCCTAGACAGGTCCTAAAGAGACTTGGTGGCATAATGGGTTAAGAACCACAAAGTTGGCAGTTCAAAGCCACTAACTAGCAGCTCTGCAGGAGAAAGATGAGACTGTCTGCTCTGGTGAAGGTTTACAGTCTCGGAGAGCCTATACAGGGTCGCTATGAGTTGGAACCAACTCCACAGCACACAACCACCTCCACCACCACACTGTCCCACAGTGCAAAAGACCATCATGTCTGACCTAGCGGAAGACTCTGGAGAAAATAGCACTCTCGTAACTGGGTGATGGCTTCTCGACTTCTCTTCTTTCCAGCTCTGGTCCCCTTCATAGCATCCCTGGATCCATGGTTTCTGGAAGAGTGCTTTAAAGCCCTCTTCCTCTATTGTTTCCTGGTTTGTTTCTCCATCCCAGGGTGGTATAGATATGATGATCAGAATCTCTCTTCTCCTCAAGGAACTAGGCTAACAAGGTCTTCTACAGCCTGAGTTGAAGCTCAAGTTATGAGCAGATGCTGAGAGGCCGAAGATTATGTGCATTTGGAAAACTGTGGATAGAGGTGTGGGTCATTCTGGCATTGATCACAGGGCAATTCTTTCCAGGAAACCCCACGTATGGGTGGCCTTGCTTCTCTTTCCCTCGCTTGATGAGGCCACTTCTTTCTATAATTCTGTCAAAACATCTTTGTACATGAATCTGTTTGTATTGTTGATTATTCTTTTTATTTAAAAAAGGAAAAACAAAAACTTTTTATTGTGGATTGGATGAAGACTTACAGAAAAAATCGGTTTTCCATTCAGTGATTCATATCTATTTGTTTGTTGTCATTGATTACAATCCTTATAATGTAATCTCATCTCACATCCCTGTGTGTCCCATTTCTAGGCTCCTGTCCCATTTCTAGTCCTCCTGAACTTTGCCCTTGAGTAAATGCTGCTCTTTTGGTCTAAGACAGTTGATTATTCTAAGGTGTGCACACCTCCCTGGTGTTATTGTCCCTCTATACACTTGTTTGG